CTTTTTAAAAACTGTTCTGGGTGGTTTTTTCAGGGTGGTCTTGGGCTTGGGGGCTTATGTTTCTATGTTGTTGTTTTTTTTTGGTTTTTTTTTTTGTTTTGCAGCTCCAGTGCTGCGTTCCTATAGGATTTTATTTTTGGGGTTTTTTTTTTTGCCAGAATGGATTAATCGCATTCCCATGTATTCCTATGGGAATGCATGCTTTGACTTACTATCACTTCAAGTTACGTTCATCTTCTGGAACAGATTATGGTCGTAAATCGAGGCACCACTGTATTCCTAGTGTAGGATTAAATTTCTCTTTGATTTCTCGGATCTTTTGGAAGAGATCTCTTGTTTTTCCTCCTGTTCTTTTTTTGCACTGCCCCTTATAATAGTACTCTTCATCTCTATATGATATAACTGAAAACCTGCATTCAGGATTTTCAGCTTACTTCTCTCACCTTTTACTTTTGCTACTCACCTGTCCCTAGCAAGTGTGTTTTCTGTCATTCATCTAGATTTTTTTTCTTTTTTACTTAGAGGTATTGTCATTTTGGATTCTTCCTAATTATATATCTGGTTTCAATCCACGGTTCTTCTATTTCATGGTCAGTTGAGTTTAGTAATGCAAATCTATTTGTTATATGGACTTTAGTAGGATTCTTTTATCATTCTTCTTCAGCTTTTCTCTAATATTAAATATTTAGAGTTCATGATTAATAGCACAGTCTGCTACTGGTCTTGTTTTGGCAGAGAGAACACAGTTCTTCTTTGTGGTCTCTGTGAATGCACACTAATGGGTTTAATATGCGCTTGCGCAGAGGTCTATGGAATTTTCTAAAGCTTCTATGCTACGTTTGTGAAGGACCACCCTCCTTAGCCCATGAGGTTCACCTTAAAGATTGCGCTAAAGGGCAACCTCTAGTACAGACTGTCCATATCAACTCCTCCATCATAAGGGCCACCTTTAGGACAGACTGCCCATGTCAGCTCCTGCATCATAAGGGCCAACTTTAGGACAGACTGCCCATGTTAGCTCCTGCATGATAAGGGCCAAATTTAGGACAGACTGCCCATGTCAGCTTCAGCATCATAAGGGCCAACTTTAGGACTGACTGCCCATGTCAGCTCCTCCATCATAAGGGCAAACTTTAGGATAGACGGCCCATGTCAGCTCCTGCATCATAAGGGCCACCTTTTGCACAGACTGTCCATATCAACTCCTGCATATTAAGGGCCACCTTGAGGACAGACTGTCCATATCAATTCCTGCATCATAAGGGTGACCTTTATTTGTATAAATGTTCATCAAAATTTCCTTGTCTTGTCAAGGGTAGGGTGACCTTTATTTGTATAAATGTTCATCACTACAATTTCCTTGTCTTGCAGATATTTCCTTAAAACAATCACAATGGATCAGTATGAAATAATTCAGATGATTGGGGAGGGATCCTTTGGCAAAGTCTTTCTAGCCATGAGAAAGGAAGATAATCAGCATTGTGTTATCAAGGAGATCAGTTTAACAAAGGTAGATCACCGTGACCTTTATTTGTATAAATGTTCATCACTACAATTTCCTTGTCTTGCAGATATTTCCTTAAAACAATCACAATGGATCAGTATGAAATAATTCAGATGATTGGGGAGGGATCCTTTGGCAAAGTCTTTCTAGCCATGAGAAAGGAAGATAATCAGCATTGTGTTATCAAGGAGATCAGTTTAACAAAGGTAGATCACCATTTTCTTTATTATTTCCTTGTTCATGTTGCTAAATGGTTTTCAATGCATCCTGTTCACTGCATATCTCAGGACAGATCAGTGTGTTTATCTTTGTGTGCCTCTCATGACGGAATCAGATGTAGTGTCATCTGGGGAACATGTAGACACATCAAACAGATGCTAATAAAAACTCATGTCAGGCAAAAACCAAACAAAGTAAAACATCAGAGAAAAACTTTGTGGCATCTGAAAGGCTAACTTTATTTCATGAGCTTTCATGGAGAAGTCCATTTTTTTCAAGATTTGGGGTGTAAGAGATGGCTCCAAGACAAGTTAGTCTTCGAGGTTGACAGCAAAGAGACTCACAGAGACAGTAGGTTCCTTCACCAGCAGTGTATTTACAGACTATGTACAATGGAACTATGTACATCAGTCAACAGATTCAATGATACACTCTCAGCAAATGAATGGACAGCACTTTGTGCAGCAACTCTCCAACACAACACTCCACGCATCACCATAGTGTGCAGCACCTATATAGTTTGAACAACCAATCACTGGGCACATCACCTGATGTTTTCTCCCAGACATTATCTCATGTTCAATAACATTTCATGTGTCACCCCATGCATTGCATCAGCTTCATGTGCTGACTCTGTGGCTGCACACCTGTTTTGAGATGGATGCCTGTTAGCAAACTTTGGTTCATGTACTACAGAGTAAATTCTGTATTGTGGGTCATAATATCCTGACACATTTTGTTTTTGCCGTACATACACAGACCGAACATAGTTAGCTCTTCTAAAATTACAACTAATAAAAACTCAGCTAATGAAGTAATCGGTATAAATAAAGCCTGACAAGTGATGTGAAGTAAAACTTCTGAAAGTGGATATATCTCACTAAACATGATTTAAACAATTTATATTCTTTGAAAACTCCAAAACAAACCTTATTTTTTAAAGTTAAATTTAAAATTTTCAGCTATGGCATATGTACATTAAATGTAATTCTGTTTTTATAACTGAGGTTTTACACTTCTCTTGATTTTTTTAAAAAATTCGATTTTGGTTATGTTACACCCAGCTTGAGGCAGCCTTATAGATTTTACTGCATGGTATTATTTCTACTCTTGTGTTTCTTGGTTTTATAGTACTTCCACTGTACCTCATTCAAGCTACCAGGTAGACAGAGAGTGTAAATTTTAAATGTTATTAACAGATAAGGAGCTCAGGATGGCATGCAAGATCGTTCTAAAGTCTAGTGCTAGAGATTACATTTGAATTCAGTATATACAGTGCTTTAAATGACACAAACAACCTTTCCCTTATTGTTGTATTATTTAATACAGCATCCAGTTAAAAATAAATGCTTTTTCTGCACTGTTTTGTTTTTTTATATTAATTTAGTTGCCAAGGAAGGAAAAAGAATCATCTCAGAAAGAAGTTACCCTTCTGGCCAGGTTGAAGCATCCTAATATAGTAGACTTCTACACTTCCTTTCAAGGTCTCATTTTATCTGCGGCTATTCACTCGTGTGTTCTATTAATTGATGAACTCATCCCCCTCCCCACCAGTGAGATGTTAAAATAACTGTAAATACAGTGGTGCCTCGCACAACGATGTTAATTGGTTCCAAAAAATTCATCGCTGTGTGAAACCATCGTTCTGCGAAACACCATTTCCCATAGGAATGCATTGAAAACCAGTTAATCCGTTCCAATTGGAACGGATTGCCATCCTTAAGCGAAAATCGCCATATGAAACATCGTTGAGTGAAACCCGGTTCCCCAATTGAAATGCATTGAAGCCGACTCACTGCATTTCAATGGCTTTGTGAAGTCCTTTTTCGCTCCTGTAAAAGTGTCTTAAACTGTTTGACCGTTCAAAGGCTTTCAGTGGTGAATAAAATAATTCACCAAAAATTAACAACGACTCAGCACAACACCAAATTAAGTTTGCATAGGGTTCAGGAGGTGGGCTAACGATTGCAAGCATTTCTAACAGTTTAACACACTTTTACAGGAGGGAAAAAGGGACATCGTTGAGTGAAATTCCCCCATAGAGAACATCGTTAAACGATGGGGGAAATTCCTCAAAGAAACCCATCGCTGTGTGAATTCGTCGTTGTATGAAGCAATCGTTGTGTGAGGCACCTCTGTAATTGGTGTGTGCGTTCTTTTAGGGTTTCTAGATAAAAATGGGATAGCTGGTGGGGTGTTGTGAACTCAGGAGACTTGGTTCAGATCCTCACTGGGGATGGTGGAACTGCTAAAATTCTTTCCTTAAACAGCTCACTCTAGATAGCTCGGTAGGGGGGTATCTGGCTGTGGAGCCAGAGATTGGGTGTTCAGGTCTCCACTGTTCATCCAGAAAAGCCAGCCTATGTGGCCTTGGGCAAGCCGCACAGCCCCTCTCCCTCCCCAAAGAAGGGAATGGTAAACTACCTCTGGGCATTCTCTACCCAGAAAACTCTGGAAGGGTTCACCATACGTCAGAATTGACTCGATGGCACAGGATTAAATTATTATCTTGAAAGCCCTGTTAGGGCTCTGATAAGTTGCAACCCTAACAGGGCTTTAGCTCACACACAGGTGAACATTAAAACTTAAGTCTAATTTTACTGTTAATCCTTGGCTGAAATCCAGTTGTAGATCACAACTAGTGTAGGCCAGTTGAATCAACAGAACATATGGAGGAGCTGACTCACTAAATCCCCACTGATTCAATGGGCCTACTCTAGTTGTACCTTATTGCTAGGTTTCAGCTATTGCGTGAAAGAAAAAATTTTGGCTGGTACAAATTTCCCTGTAGGACTACCAAAAAAATCCAAATTAATTAATTAAATAAATGAATGAATGAATAAATGAATAAACAAACAAACAAACAAACAAATAATAAAAGGCTACTCCTTGTGAAATGTTGACTTCTGCTATAATTTTGAAAGGCACAGACACGCTAATCCCTCTCTTTGCTTTTAATTATCCTAATCATTACATCTAAAACTTTGTATATTGAGAAAGAAGGGTGAGGTTAAGGTGGCCAGGTGCAAAAGAAGACAAGGTTCCTGCACCTTGAATAGTTGCTTAGAAAAGGAAAGATGTCACACACATATCTTTCTGTCTGAGATGGAGATCAAGAGGAGTAATCTCTGAAGTCTGTAGGTTATTGGAGATAGCCTAATGCATAGAATGAGGTCTTTGGTGTTGAAGGTATGAGAAGCCAGAAGTATAGTTCACGGTTCCTTGTTGTATGTTAAAGCAGGTTTTCAGTGCACCCTGTTCACTGCGTATTTCAGGACAGATCAATTACTACCCATCTCTGAACCCATAGAATAAGAGACACAGCTACTGCAAGAGTTTTTATGGATGACATCGTTCTTCCACAACAGATATCTTGGCTGTGTTATTGTAAAAAGATTCTGTTACGTAGATGTTAAACTACAAAGGATTTTGACTTTGAGAATCTTAGCAAATTTAAAAAATAAGTAGCACACCAGATTGTTTCATTCAGTGTTGCTATTGCTGTTTTTACTGCTGTGATAACAGTTCATAATTGAATATATAAATCATGTTTGTCAAAATCCAATATACGTATTTTATCATAGAGAAAGATAAATTATATATTATGATGGAATATTGCGATGGAGGTGACCTAATGAAGAGGATAAATATGCAACGTGGAGTGCTGTTTGATGAAGACAAGGTAGGTTTGCGTTTTAAGCACTTATTTCTTTACTTGTATTCTTTTACTCTGTGTCTGTGCATACACATACGCACAGACACAGAAAGGTATAAGGGCATCTGCATCCCGGTGTCCATTTTGTTTAATTCTTATTGTGGTACTAGGTTATATTTGCCCTAATAATAATATTAATGTATATTTTGCCTACAACTACTATATGTATTATATCTAAGTATATAAACATCTGCAGTTCATTCCTTTGTTTCAGCTTGCCCTGCCCTGGTGCATGCCAGATGTTCTGGACATCCCTAATCAGCATGACCTAAGTATGCTAGCCAGGATGGAAGACATAGTAGTCTAGCACATCTGGAGGGCAACATATTGGGGAAGGAGATCTGTATGAGCAAGGGATTGTACGAGATCACTCTTGAGAGATCTTCCATCTCTACAGCTCTGTGATTCTAAGCCTGGTTTATTCTTCAATCAGTGTATTTTTGTAATGGATTAACATTGTTGTTGTTTTTTAAGTATCCACCCATTATGTTGTATATTTTAGAATTTGGATTAAGCATTCCAGGCCTGAAACAGAGGACTTGAATGCAAGTTTTATGATGATGAGTGTATTTTGGGCAGATAGACCTGCCATAAATTGAGTCTCTTGAAGACTACAGAAAATAAAAGCTGCACTCAGAAAAGTTACTGAGTCTTACAAATAACACTCCAACAAACTTAGGCACCATGGCTAGCCTGCTAGCTGGGAGAATGTAGAAATTATATTTCAAAACTTTTCCTGTTTTGGAAACAGAGAGTTTTTTGGGGTTTTTTAAAGAGTTGTTAAATACAGTAGTTTGTTTTTAGCTTCTTTTAGACAGATTGGTTTCTCTTAAGAAACCTCTGTGCTTTTGCTGCTGATAAGCTGTCCAGACCCACAAATGTTTGTTTTGGCCTTGTAGACTGCATTAGTTGTGATCAAATTAGGAGGAGGAATAACAAGGGTGAAGAACAAGGCTTGAAATCACAGTTCCTACTGTAAGGGAAAGGAAGAAATGCAGTCTACATTTTATTCTATTTAAGAGATTGAATCTAATCAATCTAATAATTTCTTACTGGGACATTTACTTTTTCAAGAAAGATTTGTATTTTTCTTCTATTCCTGTGGAAATAAGAATGCCTGTGTGTTGTACTGTACTATGTTGGCATTTTATATTTTTTTGTAGATCCTGGGTTGGTTTGTGCAAATCTCATTAGGCCTAAAGCATATCCACGATAGGAAGATTCTTCACAGAGATATAAAAGCGCAGGTAATACTTGAAGATAGATTTTCATTATTGAGTTGTAATTTTTCCATTAGTCAGGTTTCTTCCTCTCTTTTACCTTAGCCTATTGTTTTCTTTGATTGCAGAACATTTTTCTCAGCAATAATGGGATGACAGCTAAACTTGGAGACTTTGGGATTGCAAGAATGCTGAGCAAGTAAGTGTAATTACAGCCTCTGCGAAGTAGAGTCTGCATATTATTTTTTTCAGTGCTACCTCTGGAAAAGGTGAATTAATTCCAAACTTGGCCTATATATTGAAAAGTCCACAGAACAAGAAAAGATTGGCCTACTAGTTCCCGTGTCATCCTAACAAAAATGAGCTGCAAGAGACTTTGGCTTCTTTGCTTCCTTTTCTCCCTGTCTAGTTTATGAGGAAAAGGGGTTAAAATCTTCTGCTTAAATTATCAGACTCTCGACAGGTGAGTTCTGTATGTCAACCTTTTCCTCAGAAACTGGTATTTTCACTGAGATGGTCTCCCTTTGCTGGCACCAACGGAGAACTGCCTCCTAGTGTAGAGTCTTCACATGAACAATTTTAGTCCGAACCACTGAAGGGAGTGAAATGGTCAAACTCCACTTCCTGCCTCCTGAGGTTCTGAGAATAATTGCATACCCTAGCAACTGATGTTTGCAATTTTTAAATGTCTACTTTAAAAAAAACATGCCTTATTGCAAAACTCATTTTTGTCTCTACGTTGAGTTTAGCTTAGCCTAGAGGTTTCCATGGATTAGTGCTGAACTGAATTTTTTTCAGTTTACAACTTTTCAATCAGACTTTTTTCATGTTGCAGTTTTCCATCTTTCTAGAAGTTATTATCTCGTTCTGTTGCCTTTAAGGAGGATGTATGATACAGACATTTTAAACTCTGAGTGCTCAAGTGTACGACATGGTGTACCATGCCTTCATATCTTGTTTTACTTTTCCTTCTGCAAGTATTTCATTCATCAGCCAAAAAAAAATGAATGTGATTTCAGGACGATACCTGAAGCTTGCTCTTTATCTGGAGCATTCTTTTTGAGGTGTATTTCTTCTGCAGTTGCACTGATCTCTATAGCACATATGTATGCAATTGCTCAGCTTTAGGAAGGCAAGACGTTTTGCATGTTATCAACCACTGCATTTTTCAATTGACGTGTAACTTGGAAGACATAAGAATTTACTGCTCTCCAGTAGTTTGGGGCAGTTATCACAAATTTTCATTTTAGCCGTTGTACATCAGCTATGTGTTAAATGTGGCATGACAGAGCACTGATTTTAGAGCAGGCTTTAAAATTTCAGACAGGAATCCATCAAGAAAGATGTCCTGGAAAACATCTAACCGCAGCTTATTTCATTAGCAGACTGCTGATCTGTGATATTTTCTAGTTATATTGCAAAACATGTATTTCCATTGCACAGATAAGTAATGCTGACATAACTTGACAGTAGGAATGTTCCCCCCCCCCGCCTTATTTGAGAGCAGTTTGAACTAGATTTTGGAAAAGCAATTTCCCGATGTCACTGTTGCTTTCCATCACTTAGTAGAAATTCATGGCTTCTTATTCTAGTTCAGTCTTTCACACTTTGGTTCTCTTGAGGTAGGTTGGAATACAGCTTCCATCATTCCCAAGCAGTATGGCCATGATAGCTGGGAATGATGGGAGCTAGACTAATGAATGTGGGTGGGCATCAGGTTGGGGGATGTTGCTGTACGTTGCTTCTTTAGTGTCCAAAAAATGGTTTGAATCTCTTTTTTTTAACATGTAGCTTCTGTTAACCTCTTTTGATATGAACCTTTTTCTAGTTATATATGTAGTTTGTTTCTTCTTGCCAAATGTCCTACTTTCAAGATGGTTTTGTTCAAAAACATTATTTTGCACAACTGGTTTCTCTAGTACCATGGAGTTGGCCCGGACATGTGTAGGAACACCATATTACCTATCACCTGAGATCTGTGAGAACAGACCATACAATAATAAAACGTAAGTTTTAGACTATTTCTAGCTGATATATTTACCCCATTTAATGAAAAATGAATTCATAAAACCTTGGAAGTTTAATGGTTTTCAAATGGTTATAAAACGTTTTGTCATATTTCTGCTTTGAAATACTCATTTGCAGTGGTTTCCTACTTCACTTTTGTTCATAGTATCATTAGAGGATTACATAAATAAAGTAATGTAAGGCTACCAATTACTTCATTTCCTACAAAGTTGAGATAAATACTTCCCATTCTGTTACTAGATTCTATTTAATTATTCCTCATACTTTGCTTTCGCTTCTAGTGATATGTGGTCTCTTGGCTGTGTGTTATATGAGCTCTGTACTTTAAGGCACCCTGTAAGTATATATAATTAGATAAAATATTATTCCATTAATGAATATTACATTAACCAGCAATACGATCTGCTAGTTGAACAGTTGGGTTGTTCCAATGATAGCTGTCAGAATCACAAATGTAAGGCCTTTTTCCGTAAGACAGGGCTTTCTCTAAAGCAGCATCTCAATTAAGGAGCTTCTTCCCATGGGAAGTCAGGCTAACACCATCCTTATTTAGATTCTGACAGGTAGTAAAGATGCTACTATTTTCTCAGGCTTTTAGGTTTTAAAATTGTTCTAATCTTTTATGAAAGAAAGCTAATTTTTATTTTATTTGTAAGTTTTCATTTCATTGTAATTACATTAGGGTTCTAGTATTTTGGAGAGCTAAGATTCTCAAGCAGCAGGTTGTCTACAGTTTTCCAACTTTACAGTAAATATGAGTGGAGAGACTGCCCACCTCGAAGGTTGTGTTTGAGATAAAGAAAGGAGAGAACATTCAGGGAAGGGAACATCAGAGCTGGGTTGGTCATATTAATGTTGTTAATTAAATACGGGCAAGACTGGTCTTTTACCAATTTTGTCTTCTACTTTCTGTTAGCGCTTTTAAACTTTTCTGGTCACGCTGATGGTTTGCTGTTTATGACTTCACTTTAATATGACAGTTTGAAGGCAGCAATTTGCCCCAGCTTGTGCTGAAGATCTGTAGAGGCCATTTCATGCCAGTGTCTACAAAGTATTCATCTGAACTAAGAGCTCTAATATCTCAGTTGTTTAAAACATCTCCAAGAGATCGACCTTCTATCAACTCCATTTTAAGAAAGCCTTTCTTGGAGAAGCAAATAAGGAAGTATTTGCCCCCTGAGGTGAGTATCTGCTGTGGTGCATTGAGGCTGAATTTAAAGAACAAGAATTCATACTTCTTCCCATGGTTATTGGACTTCTTTCCTCCTCCTCCTCCCTCTGTAGGAGAAATATACTGTATCTCCTTAACTTTGCCCCTTGTACCCATATGCACAATAAGATCTGGAGATCTATTTCTGAGGAGCTGAACTGGCTACTGAAAATTGCTGCCATGCCTCCTTTCCCTAGGAGAACGCTAAAGGCAAGGAGTTCATTCTGTTAATGCCTTGAGTTGCCAGCATGAGTTAACAGCATGACTATTAACAGTGTGGTCTGTGCTGTCAAGTCAGAACTGTCTTATAGTGACCCTAACAGGGCTTTCGAGGTAAGTGAGATATTTAAGGAGTAGTTTTATCAGTTCCACTTTGCAAGTCAATTTCCATGGCTGAGTGGGGATTCAAACTCTGTTCTCTGGAGTCCTAGTCCATCACTCTATCCACTGCGCCACTCTGGAAATCATTATTCACTGCACCGTAGAAATATCTCACAGATACGAGACATACTCTTGTTATATTTGCTTTTAGATCATGGAGGAAGAATTCAGCCATACTGTCCTTCACAGAAGAAGACCAATAGCTTCATTGTCTTCAGGTAAGTTGTTGGCCAATAAAGCTTTTATTTAAAAAAAACATAAAACAGCATGATATACTGACCCTGTGTAGGAAATATATTTTAAATTGAAGTTTCTTCTGAGATAAATAGACAAATTTCCAAAAATGAAGATGTAGACCTATACTCTGAGTAGGATGTGTCTTTTGAAGTTAATTTGGTCATTATGCAGGGAAGGGCCTTTTGCATTGCAACACCCACCATATGGAGTGACACACCCCAAATTGGATGGGGTCCTAGTGTGGTGTGTTTCTGCAGCCACCTAAAGACTTGAAGTGGTCTCCTAACTAACCAAGATGCCTAAGGCTGTCTGACCTGACACTAAAATAGTTCAAACTGTGCTGAATCTAAAGCCCTCCCTGGGGAATCTAGAAATTACTTAAGAGTTTCCCTAGGCCAGGTCTAACTTTGTGCTTGCGTTCTGGTTGTATTTGCAGGCAAAAGGAGTTTTGACTCTGACAGTAATTGCATTTTCTCTTCCCTTACCATTTCTCCATTTTGTTCTCATTCTTCTGGTGGCAGATCTGAGCTGTCAGAGGACCTCTGCTAGCATATCTCTGCAGCATACCTCTGAGATAAGGGAGCAGAAGAGATCTCTGCCAGTGGAAGGGGATTCTGGCTATTCCTAACCTACTATTGCTGGCGTGTCTTTGAAATTATTTATTTCTCCAAATATTTTTATTGTTATTTACATCTAATAATTTTAATATTTTCCCCAAACTAGTTTTATTGTATTTTACCGATTTGATATTTTTTTTAAATGAAAAGCAATATAGAAATGTTCTCAAATCATAAGTGCACGTAGAATTATAAAATGCACCTTTCCACTTGTGGAAAAAGCAAAGTAACAGGAGAACGTAAGCAAGCAGCTTTTGGTGGATAGGACTGTGAAAGTTATGTTTTCAAGATAGCATACCGTTTTGTGAATGTTACACGTGAGAAGTAGGAGCAGCACGTATAGCCATCAAAGAACATGAAATTCCTTTAGCCAGAATTAACTTTACTTCCAGTAAAATGGAACTTGGTTTTCATATATTGTTCACAACTAGAATTAATTCAAGCTTCTGATTCACTTAGCTGGTTCATAAAGGTAGAATAGCCACCTTGTGGTTGAGGATCTGTTATATACGTTCTTGTGAAATGTCTTGTGTTGAGCTGAGGAGGTGGGCTCTGTAGCTGCGTAACAGAAGGTGGGCTCCGTGTATTGCCAGTTCACTGTGCAGATCATCAATAACACACTGCATATATGCATCCTTGAAGTATCATTAATGGAAGGGTCTGAGCCAGCTGATAGCTGTCCCTGACATTAGTTGTCAAGTTGTATCCCAGGATATTTTAGCTAAATGTGTGAAATACATCACTAAACATGATTTCAGTCTCTGACTTCAGCAAGCTGCAGTCTATGGAGGCAGAGTACAATGGTGGGATAGATAAAAGGAAACATTACCTCTGGCGGAATACGTAGCTACCAGTATTTTCTGTCCATCTCTTTGATGTTATGCAGTTGACCTCGGAACACTGAGAAATGTTGATAAAGTTGTACAGGTTTCCCTCCACTGGTCAGTTTAATAGCGACAAAGTGAATGTTTTTAAAAAAATCATATTTGAGTACCTCCGTTCCCTTACGCCATTAATTTTCTTACTCTGAAAAAGATTGCAATTTACAGATATCTAAGAGGAAAAGCAAAAGCACTGGAAACAAATAAGTGCTTTTGCTGTCGAGCCAAGACTATTTATTTATTTATTTATTTATTTGATTTCTACCCCGCCCCTCTAGACCATGTCTACTCGGGGCGGCTTACAAAAAAACAGTATAAAAATATATAAAATCATAAAATTACAACTACAATTTCATTTTCAAAAGAATTTGTTGTATCTCAGTGAATCAAATGCAGACTGTAGAACAACAGTGCTTGGTAATCTTCTGTCTTCAGCAATGGTGTATCTGCTAAATAGTCTGCCTTTTGAAAGACAGAATCAGAGGAAGTAATGGAGGAAGCAAAAACAATCTGGTCACTTATTTGAAAAGAAATCATAAATTTTGAAAATTAAGTACAGTATTTAAACTTAGTCGGTGGTTCTTTCCAGGCACAACACATTCATGTTGAAGCTGCATATTTAATGGCAAGCATAGGATTACCAGTTCAGTGTTTACTCCTATGCTTGTGGGGGTTCACAGCAGAGAAATGCCTGTAAGTAAAAGGTGGTTGTGTTACCCTCTAGTCAGTTTCTTATGTAGAGTGTAATCTGACATTTCTTTGAAACCCATTATGTTAGAAATATTCAATAAACTGTTTTTAATGTATTATTAAGCTCCTAAAGTTCAGAAACCAAGACTCCACAATCTTAATTCTCCAAAACTCAAGATGGGGATGCTTCCCTTAAAACAAGGATTGTTACATAAACATGAATGGAGATCTCCTTCAAAAATCCAGGATCCTATTAGCCAGGTAATGAAAACTTTTCACTGTGTTCTTTTAGTATTAATTGTTTAATGGATACTGGTTTTGTTACTTCCTTGTCATGTGCTTCTGTGATGCAGCAGTTGATGGTTTGATTTAACGCTGTTTACTAAATGAGGATCAAAACATATGTAAGGTTACAAAAATTGAATGCTAAGTTTGGAATTCTTTATTCTTATTTTAAAAATGATAGCAGATGTGGAAGATCTGAAACTGGATTAGGACCTCCTGTAGCAGTTTTTAGTTTAATTTTGTTTTTTAATGACAAGAGGGATATTAAGGATAGGAGGTAAAGATGTGTTTGACCTTAAATCTCTGTCTATGTAAAAGACACAGCACCTCAAACTTTGCTATATTATACAACTTGAAATCCAAATCACACTGTTAATATAAAAAAGCATATGTGCCTATGGCGTCCACCCTCATGCCCCTTGCTTGACCTTCAAGCCTCTGAGCACACGAAGGCAAACACTCTCTTCTTTTACACTTGCTGCCACCAGGGGATCTCTAAATCACCATTACTTCAGAAAGATTCAGGTCCACACTTCAAGTTCTTTTAAATAATACTTTAGTTTATTGATTACAGAGATTCATAAATATCTTCAGTAGCTAATCACACCTAAATTTCCCAAACTACACTATTACTCTCTCTGACTTTTCTCTACTGCCTGACTCTTACATTTCTCTACTGACTCAATCTTCTCTTTGACTCCGCCTCTTATAACATCTCTCTTGGCTGCGCCTCTCAGCAACATGAATATTCATAAACCATTACATAATATAACATGAACCATAGATCTAATAAACGGAGAACGCTACAGTGCCCTTTGAAATTACTCTGAGGGTGTGTTAAGAACGAGCCAGGGGTGTATGGGAAATAATGTTTTTGAGTAGTGTAGCCTGCAGGGCTAGCACACAAGCCAAGGTTTTCTCAGTAGTAGCACGTTTGTAATGGATTTCCCTTCCATTAGAAAGCTAGTCATCCCTCACATGCTTATATTTTAGACACCAGTTTAAAATGTATGTTCAGCAACTGTTGTAGAATAAGCAAATGTCTCATTTGTCTTTTACTGCTGAATGTTTGTATTTTATTTTATTTACCAGATTTTTAGCCGCACCATTACTAATGGTCTCTGAGCAGCGTACAACGATATTAAAACTTTAAAAACATTAAAATAGGCAATATTATAATAATGACCTATATTAAAAACAGTACTGCTTAGCAGACATTTACAACTGTGATTTAAGAGACGTATAACTCGTCATTTTAACTGGATTGTTTAATATAGATTGTCAGCTGCCCTAAATGACAGCCAGGAAGCTTTAGTGTAAGGTGTTTCAGCATTTAGCAGGCCAGTATGGCAGATGGTCTCACTTCAAATATAAAGAAAAAATGGCTTGATAAAAGGCATAATTAATTGAACTTTAGCATAATACTATATGAACTGGGCTACCATTAACTGCAGCAGAGAAAATAGGTAAATAACATATTTTTTTTGTCTGTGACGTTCAGTCTTTCTCAGAAGGATTAGTAGAACATCCTGAATAGGATTCTTAGTAATATTTTAAACATGTATTGATAAGGTTTGAATGTGCTTGCTTTCCAAAAAGACCAGTCACTGAGCCTAACAAAGGACATGCTTTAATGATATGAGTAGAAAATTGGTAACAACTTAGATTGAATGTACTGGATTTATTGTCTTCATAATTGTCACGCATATGATATGTTTTCAGTACAGGAGTCCCAAGTTTAAGATTTGTGGAAAACCAGAAGATGCCAGAATGTGTGGGCACTATGGCCATTATTATATGAAACTTGCAAACTTGCAGGAGAGACCATTGATTCAGGAAGATCATCCTCTTATTGGCCAAAGAATGGAAGAATACTATAAGCAAAAAGGGCAGGAACCACCACCACCTCCACCTCATTGGTAGTGATGTTCTCTTCTTGGACTTACTAATATGTCTGTTGATTCTAACATAGGAATTCCTTACTGTACAAGTACTTGTGAGGTTCTCTTTTTTATCCCAGTGACTTCACAATCTTGTTTTCAGTTCAATATTGCAGACAGTTGAATGTGTGTATGCCCCTTTGAATTTAGAGTGTTTTTGTTTGAACTTGACTATGGAATAAAATTAAGCATGACAAAATTAGTCTGCAATGTAGGTTGCAAGATGTGTGGTACAAACACAATAGTTTAGTCTTTATTTGGAAAGAGCATCAGCTATTCATAAAGAGGAATGCAGTGTGAAAAAGCTATACTTACCAGTTAATATTATGTAACACAATCTTATGCATGTTTGTTCAAAAGAAAACTCACTTGAGCTCAGTGGGACTTGAATCTTATAAGCAATTGCCGTATTTTTCTGTGTATAAGACGCTACTTTTTCCTAAAATCATTACACTAAAAATTTAGGGACGTCTTTTACACAGAAGTAAGTGGAGATAGCCGAGGAGAGTACAAAATGGCACATACCTTGCCTGTGCCAACAGGCTTCCTTCAGTTAAGAAGCTTAGCTTCCTCTGATCATGAGCCTTATGGAAGTGATGTCAGCTGATGCGGAACAAACCAATTGGAACACACCCCGTTGGAGGTGGAGCCTGTAGGCTCAGATTCAACAGGGATTCCTAATGTCTGAGTGTTCTGAGCCCAGAGGCTGAATCCTCAAAGCTAAGTTTTCTTAAATTTTGGGTTAGAAGTAAGTGTGTGTGTGTGTGAGAGAGAGAGATAAATGGAAAAATACAGTACCTGGATATGAGTGAGTGAGTGAGTGAGTGACATAAATGGAAAAATACAGTACCTGGATAACAGTTTTAATCTAGTGTTCATGTTAGGTAGCATTTACTATGGGAAATTAGTAGTGACACATGAAATGCCACACTTCTGCTTGTGCTTTACTGAATTGTTTCTTTTTCGCTCAGGCCTGCAGACTATCTTCAAAGGCGATACAATGCCCAGCAGTACAAGTTAAAAGTAGAAAAGCAACTTGTAAGTGTTTTTAAATATACCTTTAAATAACAGAGTTGAACACATAAACAGTGATAGCCCCAGAATTAGCTACTGAAGAAATCCCACTGGAGTACTAAGAAAATGTGCTAACATCCATTTTGAGGCTTCCGGCGGCCATTTTGTCCGCCAAACAGCTGATCGTCGGAGCTTCGTTTTGCGAAGATCGGTAAGCGAAATTCTCCCTATCTGAAGCTCGTTGAGCGATCGCATTAGCGATCCAAAAAAACGGATTTCATCGTTATACGGTGCGCTCGTTAAGCGAGGCACCACTGTAGTCAGAAAATGTGCTAACATTAAAAAAACCAATCTAACTCTTAAGATTTCATGCAGGGTGAATTCAGAAAAGGAGACCCTTCTTCAGATGTCACCTCTATATTTATACTGTAAATTCAAACCAATCTAACTCTTAAGATTTCATGCATTTGACTTCCCCATTCAGCAGGGTGAATTCAGAAAAGGAGATCATTCTTCAGATGTCACCTCTATATTTATAAATTGTTTCATGTTTTAATAGGGTTTGCGTCCATCTTCTGCTGATCCACATTATGATCAGAGACAGAATCAGGAGATAAAGGAAGAGCAAATGAAAGCCTATCAAAAAGCAATTGCTCAAAGAAATGAAGCGAAGGAGCAGGTGAGAAAGAGGACTGGTCTCAATCACTTGCCCTGATCAGGACTAGCAGTGCTTCAGTTGGGTGTGAGTTAAGGACACAGTATAAAATAATCATGTCCCCCACACACTTCAACTGCCAGGATGGAAGGCTCACGTAGATCTGGATAAAATAGCTATTGGGAAATCTTTAGCACATGTTTCTTTTGCAGTGAGGAAGGTGTTACAGACAATGATGGTACACTTTTCATTTAGCTAGAAATATTTTTCCTAAGTTCTGCAGCCATGCATTCTGTTGATAAAATTCTTGGATATTCATAAATAATGCTGTCCCATCTATTCTTAACTGGGCTCCAAAAAGCTATATTAGATATGCTGAAGTGTTTATTTGTTGAACTAGCTATTTATTTAACTAGTCAGTGTTACCTCTTGGTTTAGCAATTCCCAGGGTGTCTTACTTTGATTTAGGCAGGTTTTTAAAATCTTTAAAGTGCACATTACTTTGTGCTTTTCAAAATCTCCAAAGTTTCTCTACTTGGGTTTCCCTGCCATCCTGAAACATGAAGGAGATTAAGGCTGTGGTGAATAAATGAAGGCATGGTCGTTTACTGTTCAATAAGTACTTCATTATCTTTGTGTGTATTTAAATATTGCTGTAAATTGCCCTTCTGTTTCTTTACTTCCCTGAGTAAAGGCTCCTTGGAATTCAATGAGATTTTGATTAGACAGGTATAATTCATATGTTGCCATATAACAAGTGTAGTTTCTGATAATAACTCTGTGTGCACATGTGTGTGTGTTTTAAATCTAACAATAATCAACAGGAATATCTGGAACAACTACAGAAAATTCGTCAACAATATCACGATGAAGTGCATGAGATTAAACTTAAAGCAGAAGCACAAGAGGTAAATTCCCCTGCGTCAAGAGTACCATACCTTCATTTCTAGAATGTGAAGAACTGATAATGTGATAAGTAAAAAGAAAAGGGTTAATTTTTTGAAATAAACTCGTTAATAAAATGTAATAAAATGTAAAGAGAGGTTGAAAGAGAGCTTATGGGATAGCTATTGTAAGTGTCATTGCTATGTTCGCTGCTAAACAGGACCCCTGTTTAGTAGAATATACACTACACTAGAGTCCCAGATGGTAGAGTACAGTCTTGTCTGAAATAAAAACAGAAGGATGTATTTCAGTGTGAACTTTCATAGACTACTGTCTACAAAATGTAAATGTGGATTTTTTGTCACAGTTACAGTTTAAAAAAACATAACAAGATGGGATTGTTTTGGCGAGCTCCCCTCCCCCTTCATCCAGTGGAGAAGCTCTAGTATAACCACTCTTAACCTTTTTTTGGCCATGGCCATAAACACAATATGAAAGAAATATAGGCTAAATTAGGTTGCATAATGAACCTTATAAGGCAGTTTGTGGAAAATTGTTTGCAGTCTGTGGCCCCTTCAAATGTGCCAGGGGCCCCCCAGGGGGACCATATAGCTCCTGTTGAGAATGATTGCTGTAGTAGATCAAAAGCCTCCTATAACCAGCAGTAGAATGCATATATAGCTCTGGCCTGAAAAGTGTACTTCATGCATTCAAGTAAGTGAGCTGTTTCTAGGAATGCTCATGCTAACTAGATAAAACCTGTTAGTTTTAAAGGTGTCCCAAGACTCTCTGGTGCTTTTGCAAAGCATTAGTGCAGCTATTTCCTTGTAAACAACTAACAAAAGGAGGATTTCAGTTCTAGACAATTTTGCCAGATCTAATTCATTGCTTACATGGAAGAACTATTTGTAGCTCTTGGACATCCTCTGAACATATTTAAAATGGGGCGCGGGTGGGGAATGCATTTTGTAAATAATTGATGTTATAAGAGTATTAAGCCTAATACTTTGACATTGATTTTCCTAAAATGTGTCTGAATTGAGTGAACTTGTACTTGTAGCCAGAGTTAGGGAGAGGAAAAACTAATGTAATTGTTCCAGAATTAGACTAATATTTTAATAGTTTAGTTCTCAGTGCATGTGAAGAGACTATATGTCATTTTCAGGGTTTCACTAATCTTCCCATTTCATTATAACATTCTAAATTCTGCAGACTGCAGGGCAGAAAAGATACAATTTGTGTTATATTGCTTCTGCCTCCATTTGCTGAGTTGAGAATGTGTAATTAATTGACCTTTTAAACTGTTGCTGTTTTACAGAAGAATAAAAATATAAAAGACAAAACCTATCTTGTGAAGCCACGGATGACTAAAGACCATGCTGTTCTTATTGATGATGACCCCGGAGAGAAAAATGAACCATTCCAGGTATCAGCACTTTTGTGTCAGGCAATGCAGTGTTGCAATGGGATAGCTGAAGTGTCTCTAATTATGGTGAAAAATATAGGATTGAAAGATCACTGCAAGGATTTTGTTGTTGCACCTAATCTTAGCAGATATAGGGTTGCAGACTGTATCTAGTGGTCATGAAATAGACATTGCGGGTGCAGTGAACTTCCAGATCTGCTGTAGGAGGCTGGAGTGAGGAGGAATGGAGCCAGAAGCCCCATTATACAAACAAGGTCTCATGAGTGTCATTTGATGGGAATCAGTTTTCCTATAAATTATGCATAATCTGCTGCTATATCTAATGGTTGTTGTGGGTTTTTCGGGCTCTTTTTCAGTGCTGTCCTCTGAAGATGCCGGCCACAGAGACTGGCGAAACGTTAGAAAGAATAACCTTCAGAACACGGCCAAAGAGCCCAAAAAACCCACAACAACCATTAGATCCCGGCTGTGAAAGCCTTCGCGAATATGCTGCTATATCTGCTTAACCTAAATTATGTTAAAACTCCATACAGTAATGTTGTTGCCTATCCATTTGTAAAAATATAACATAAATCTGCCCTTTTCTTGACTGGATGTGTCTGTCAAAACTGTATTTTCCCTTTTAGGATATGGAGCAAAACAGAGAACAGATTGGACTGCGTAACTGGCAGGAGAGAAATGTTTTTGAAATAAAACACAAAGCAAAGGTTCAGTATTTATATACTTCATTATCAGCATTTTAATATTAACAGATATCACATTATTTCAGACTGACTTTTTCTTTTTTTATACTGATAGCTTTGAAAACGGAGTTTCATGAGGCTCTGTGGCAATTAGCACTTGTCAAAACCTGTGAGGGACAGGAGAGTGACATCTCCTCTTCTCCATTAACTTATTTTAAGTCTCTGTTTCTTTCAACAAAGCCTTTCAGGAAGGGAGAGGGAAATAATGGGAACACAGCTATGAATTGCTACCTTTCCTAGAACAGGAACCACAATCAAAGCATTAGACAGGTAGTGAGAGGTAGCATAAGGTTGTGTTTTTTTAATGTGATGTAATTTTGTAGTTTATCGAAATGCTGAAGTTTATATCTAATTCTATCTCCCATGACAAGAGGCTTTTTGATCCAGTAGAGCAGAGGTCTTCAACCCTCAGTCTGCAGCCTGAGCCACTGCCCCACACACACTCCCCTCCCCACAGCTGCTTTGTGCACACGCGTATGTGCCAGCACCGGTGTGAGCGCTCCCCTACCCTTTCACGCATGCATCTTCGCACACACACACCCCAATGCTTTGCCCGAGAGTGCGTACGGGAGTGCCCCACCTTCCTCAGAGGCTCAGCTGGTTCACGGTGCCAAAAAGGTTGGGTACCACTGCAGTAGAGGTTTCTTGGAGACTAGGTGATTTTCACACATTCACTGTTTCTTCAGCAACCTTGCATGCTACCCCTGTGCTATTCCAAAATGTTCTCCAACCCTAGGGAAGCATAACTAACACATCTCCTCTGCATGCAGGTGGTCCCAGGGTCAATGCCTGGTGTCTCCTGGTAGGTTAAGAAAGGTGCCTACCTGAAACCCTGGGGAGCCTCTGCCAGTCAGTCTTGACAGAACTGAGTTGGAGGTACACTTGGTTCCTGTGTTTGTAGGAACATAGATTTGGGGCCAGAGGAAAGCCAAAGGTTGCTTTGGGAAGGTGGAATCTGCGAAAAATAATCTTGTTTCCTCCTTCTGCTCATGGAAACCTCTGCTGGCTTAAAGAATGTTCCACCAGCAAAGGCAACAAAATTGAATAGAACCCAGAAATGTTAATTTATTTTTTTTTCCAGGGAGGTGTTAAATTTCAAATCGATTTCAAAGCTGATATTCCAGATGTGAACAATGTCCAGAAAGAAAAAGAGGTATAAATTTTGGACTGTTACATATAATTTAGTGATCTGTCTCCTGCACATGGGCATCATTTTACACATACAATTTGCCTGCTTGGAACAGAGAAACTGTCACATTTGTAAAGGCCTGCCAACCGTTTCAGAGAAGAAAAACAGTCTGCATGTGTCCCTCCTTTGGGATATAGTGGGCAGCCTACAAGACACAGAAGATGTCTTTGCTTAAGGCACATCTCGCTCCCTGAATTAGCTTGTAAGGCTATGACTTCTGTAGTTCCAAAATCAGTTTTCAAAATTATAGCTATAAAATAATCTGTATCAGTGTGTCTTTCTCCTGAAAGAAAGTTTTGGAAGGAGTTAAGGGTTCATAAAGAAATTCCATGGGTTGTTTAGGTGTAGCTAAGATTGAAACACAGGTATGCGTGTTTCGGACAGCATATGACATAATCCAAAATTAATGATTGCACTTGGGCCCATCAATCATGTTGCTGCAATCCTTTATTTTTCTTATTTGTCTTGAAGAAAATGCCCTGGAGGAAGATAAGTACTGTGATTGGGTTAAATAAGTTCCCAATAAGGGTTGTTTGATTGATTTCAGGACCATGATGAGCTCAATGACACCTTGACCTTTGAAGATGGAGACTGCCTTAAGAAAAAACTGATGGACAATGATGAGAGTTACATAGACAAAGCATTAGAAGAAATATGCCACTGGAAACTGGGTATGTCTCTTGAAATCACTAGACTTATTTATGAGCTGTCCTTAATAATGAGTAATGGCACTCCTATATGTTCTGTCTGTTAATTGTATTAGGTACTGTACACATATATTGCTTAGTACTCACAGAACTATGGTTGTTTTTCATTTTGGCCAGAAAATAGTTCCCAGATGCTCAGTTACCATGTATTGGCTCAACATGTTGTGTGAGTGTTTGGTGGGCCATATATCAGTACAGTATGTGATCAGTCCATGATAGGAACACTTTTGTGCAAAACCTTAGTGCAAGATCTCTGCCAGAAAGTCACATACTGTGGGGTAGGGTGAGGCGAGGCAGGGGAAGCTTGTATAAATTGGCCCTTCATATACAGTGGATATAAAAAGTTTACACACCTCTGTTAAAATGTCAAGTGTCTGTGATGTAAAAGAATGAGACAAAGATAAATCTTTTCATAACTTTTTCCACCTTTAATGAGACCTATGAACTGTACAACTCAGTTGAACAACAAACAGAAATCTTTTAGGTGGAGGGAAGTAAAAAAACTGAAATAATATGGTTGCATCTGTGTGCACACCCTCTTATAACTGGGGATGTAGCTGTGTTTATCAGTAAATAATCACATTCAAACTCATGTTAAGTAGGACTCAGTACACTCTTGCCATTATTTAAAGTGCCTCTGAGGAATCCCAAATAAAGATCAGCTGTGCTAGTAGGTCTTTCCTGACATTTTCTTAGTCACATCCAACAGCAGAAGCCATGGTCCATGGAGAGTTTCCAAAGCATCCGAGGGATCTCATTGTTAAAAGATATCAGTCAGGAGAAGGGTACAAAAGAATTTCCAAGAGTTAGATATATCATGGAACACAGTGAAGACAGTCATCATCAAGTGGAGAAAATATGGCACAACAGTGACATTACCAAGAACTGGACGTCCCTGCAAAATTGATAAAAAGACTAGAAGAAAATTGGTCAGGGAGGCTGCCAAGAGGCCTACAGCAACATTAAAGGAGCTGCAGGAATATCCAGCAAGTATAGGATGTGTGGTACATGTGACAACAGTTTCCCGTATTCTTCATATATCTGGGCTATAGGGTAGAGTGGCAAGACGGAAGCCTTTTCTTCCAAAGAAAAACATCCAAACCTGGCTAAATTTTGCAAAAGCACACCTGAAGTCTCCCAAAAGCATGTGGGAAAAAATGTTGTGGTCTGATGAAGCCAAGGTTGAACTTTTCGGCCATAATTCCAAAAGATATGTTTGGCGCAAAAACAGCGCTGCACATCACCAAAAGAACACCATACCCACAGTGAAGCAGCTTGTTGTTCAACTGAGTTGTACAGTTCATAGGTCTCATTAAAGGTGGAAAAAGTTCTGAAATGATTTATCTTTGTCTCGTATTTTTACATCACAGACACTTGTCATTTTAAGAGGGGTGTGTAAACTTTTTATATCCAATGTATCATAACCATCACGTGTATTGGGGTTTTTTCAAATTAAACTTGTTAAAATATCTTCTTTCTACTTAGCTGTTGACCGTGAAGGCGATTCCACAGAAACCAGAAAACACTGGAAAGCTTCAGCTCCACAAACTCTCCTCAATCTTCTAGAGAAGGCAGATATTACCTCTGTGTGCCCAACCATGGAAGAAGGTGGCCTTTGTAAAAATGTTTCCATTGTTGTACTGACTTAAGGGAATAACTACACTGTGATACTCATTGTGGTGTGTTAGTAAGAGCGAATACTATACCCGGGAGACCTTGTTGTTTTGAATTCCTGCTCAGCCATGGGCACTCAGGGGGCTGGAACTGGGGTAACCTTAGATAATTCACTTCTTCATCATGGTCTTTGTCGATCACACCTTTGGGTTTGCGCTTGCACAGAGCCAGTTCTTGGAACATTCTAGAGCTGAACTCCCTCCCTCTGTCTTTTGGTGGGACCCCTCCCCCTCTACCATTTGTGTGGTACAAGTGCCCCCTGGCAGACCCTCTTTAGTTCCTTTTTGTCTGACAGAGCATTAATGTTTTGAACCTTCACTCTTTACAGACCTCTTGGTTAAGAAATTTAACCAAGAAAAGACTTTGCTCCCAAAGATACAGTAGGGGGGTCCTACTGTAACTACTTCACAAAGACTCAATGGTTCCACTTAGGGGTTATGTTCAGGCTTTCATATCCATACACATGTAACTTTAAAACAGAACTGTTGGTTGGATTTGCCTTTGCAGACTCTCTCAAAATACCTGTCTTCACAGCTTGTATACATTTCAATAGGAACAGTTTCCTGAAATGGATCATAAAGAGCTGGAGATACTTTGGATCCTCCAAAGTAGGAGTAGAATACTTAGGAGAAAATATTATTGTAGGGGCAAGAGAACGAGAACAGAAGGAAAGCAGATGGGAAGGTTTCTGATGTTTGGAGGTGAACTGCAGTAACACTATTTCTACATGAGTATTATGTCAGTATGCAGGGAGTAAATGTACCCTTTTTCTCAGTGGGCCAGGTAATCATGCTGCCTTCGAGATTGCCTGAAATCAGGAGAAAATGGAAGCAAGAATCACCTGGGACATTAATGAACATGTTAGCAGGAGCAGAATGTTCTGGTGACACTTTATTCCAAGGTGAAGCGCTCAGTAAGCTTAATTTCCTATTCAATAGAAAACTTTTGAGATTTATATTTATTGCAACAGCATAGTATTATCAATAACAGATGTAGTTATTTCCATACGGTTTTATACAGACTGCTCCCAAGTCCTCTTAATAGTTACTGAAGGCCATTAGAGGAAAGAGCTTAGCCCCAAATACACCAAGTGGCCACATAACCATCAACCTTAGGGTGACAAGTAAAGGGTTTTATTTTGACCTCAAAAATTCATACTCTTCTTTGCTCTTGAATTAAGATGGTATGCTAGATGAAAATGACAATAAAGCCAATTGAGCAAAATATTTTTTTCTAGATAAGACAGATAACCTGCAGACTCCTAAAAATGATGAAATTGATACAGAAATGAGTTCTGCAGTTGAAGTGGATGAAGACAGATTTGATCCGAGATCTGATGACGATGACACGTAAGTCGTTGCTGCAAATACATTTTCAGATTCCTTCTTTTATTGCACAAGGTTAGCATAAAGATTCTTGCTCAGTATCTTTTGAGGTATATCACATTTTAAGACTTGTGGTCAGTCCACAAAGACTTTGCATGCAAAGAATCAGCAACCACAACAGTTTAACACTGTATCTAGGAGAAAATGCTTACAATTGAAATGACTTTTGCTTTGCATGAGGTAAAAAAAACAGTTGTTTGACGACCTGCCCAAATTACAGTTCATTTTTAACATACTGCAATAAAAATGTTAAGAGAGTTAACTGAGAATACAGGTGATATATGCTGAGTGATAATCTAAGGGAAGCTATTACCCAGCAACATAACCACATTTTTCAAAGTTTCCCCTTGAACCTTATTTTAATGAAAGACAGGATATAAATTAAATATATATATATGCAGTTTCAACCAAGTTGTATTTGCCCCTTTGCATTTAAACATGAACCAAAAATCTTAGCTGTTTCAAGTAAGCAGTTGTCTCCCAGAGCCCGTATGTCTACTTGGTTCATGGTCTGGCTGCAAGTGCCTTCTAGCTTAAATTATGTGAAGATGACTCCATATTAACAGCAATGGGTCAGTCCCATTACAACAGTGGGTCAAGTATCACTGCCTGCACAAGAATTGGGGCAGTCACTGTATTAGTACAGGTTCCAATGGGGCAGCAGTATTAGTTTGTTACAAGGAGAGAGAGAAAAACAAGATTGTTATGCCAGCTTCAAGGTTTAGGCCAGTATCCTCTTGCAGTACAAATGGTGTGTTGTGCTCCACCCTCGTTATCTTGCACTATTTTTGGCTTGTGTAAACTTAAGATTGCCCTGTTCCAGTAAATGGGACTTCTTCTGACACAAGATCTGAATACCTTCTTGTTCAAGAGCCTGACTACTCATGTAATTGTTGCACGGGCAATATAAATCAATAGGCAATGTTAACATAGCATCATTTTTGAGACCTATGCCAATCTTCAGTGTCATAAATCGGTTGCTCTTTAAAAATGCTCTAGGATGCTTCATAGTTTCTGTTTATAAAAATTCTATTTTCAGATAGTCTGCCCAAGTTATGAAGCTGATGGTAACTCTGCACCCTTGCAGAAAACTTATATTATGCCTGTCAGATATATTATCAAGTCCTTCAGTTTTGCAAAATAACTTTAATCTTACTCAATTTGATAATTCAACATTTTCCCCATAAACTGTACAGAAACTTTGAAGAATCTGAAGATGAACTGAGGGATGAGCTGGTAGAATCTCTGGAAAAGGTGGTAACATCTCCAGAAGAGGATATTCTGAAAACTTCAGCTGAACCAACAGACACGGAGCAGCCAGGGGAAAAAGAAAATGCAATTAACAGTGAACTTAACAAACCCAATGAAAGTTTGGGAAATGATAGCAAGCTGTCTCGAGATAAACAGGAAGGAGCAATCAGTTAATATGATTGTGGCCAACTGTTTTTTGAGAATTCGTTGCAAGTAGTTACATCCATATTAAGGGTCACCAGGTAGGAAACATGGGCTTTCTTTGTAGTTTTTATTCATTTTGAAGCAGTAATTAAGAGAATGAGGATACTCAGTAGCTGAAGAAAACATGGTCTAGTGGTGAAAGAGATATGAGATCATGCACATTGTACTGATCAAATGCATTAATCCTAACTTCTCTGCATTCAACCATATAAACCCCAATGTGTATTTACAGTGGAACATTTCAGTTCCCTGTCTACTTTAATACTTTCATATGACTTTTCACTCTGTTAATGTACTGTACTCTGTATGAACTCTTACAAACCAGACAAAATCAACAAGGAGATTGTGCAGTTGGTAGAAATCAATCCTCTTTGTTGTCCCCTGGACTCTTACATAGCTGACTAGAGAACTGGTGATATACCCCCAGCGCCATTCCCTAGAAGTCTTGTCTGCTCCAGTTGTGTGTACCTGCTTCCCTCTAAGGACCTTCTGGGAAATTGGCAGTGTGGATGAGATGCTTTTGAGCAGCTCTCCTCATTCCCAAATTATACAAGGGATAGGCCCAGCACACACTCTCTGCTTGTTCTGTCTTCATGTGTGAGCATATGTAGCAATAAGCCTACTACCACTACCCAGCTGTTTGTGCCCGATTTCTGATGCTTATGTTCTTAACATAATGAATGACACAGTATCATTAAGGTGATAAATGTCATACTGTAGGTGGAAATCAAATGATTGAATTCTGCTGTACAAATATAAAACAAAATCCTTACAAAACAAGATGCTAGAGAAGTTTATAATCTAGTTTGTCCCTAAAATACTAGTTTTCTTTATGGAGGGTAAGACTCTGGAGCAGTAAAGTCTTGATCAACTGTTGATTCACAGCTAGGTGTCATTAAGTTCCTCTGAACTTTTAAATTCTGTCTAGCTTCAGACAAGAACAAGCTGCACTGTAATATATTTTGATATTTTAAGATGGCTTAGTCTAACTATTTCATGTATGATCTTGTAAAATACCACAATATTTGGAGAGCAAACACAAATATGCTGAGTCCCAAACAGAAGTGTCTCAGAATAATATACTCTTTACTGTATATCAGAAATAAAATAGAAAAATGTAGAAGTGGGTCACTATAGTGATTCAAGTTTGTCCACAGTCCAGATACCATATATACAAAATATTTTATTTAAATAGTGGTTCCACAGATATTAGGAATGCTTCCTCAAATTCTTGATCAGCAAATCTCTTCACAGACTGACGAGCATTTTGTCTGATTTCTAGCCTCTTTGTAGGGGACAGTGTTAAGATATGAGCCATCATGTCTGCATAGTCATCTTCATTTTCTGCCAGAAAGCCTGTAATATTTCCTTCATAGGGCACCACAATGTCCAGTTTGGGGCCTCCAGAATTGTGAGCAAGGATGATGGTGCCAGCTGCCATACACTCAACAACCCCTGTAAGAGACGAAAAACAAATCAGTTAACTGTAGTTCCCTCACTCCTTTGTAACTAAAGATTTTAATGCGTGCAGTGATTTTAAAAGCAACTGGGAAAAAGCAAGTAAGCTGGACCTCAAGACAAGACAGACAAAAATATATGTTTGGGTCAGAGATGGTGATAAAGTTTCTTGTGTTTGGGCTGCAATTCCCAGGACTCTCCCAAGAATTCTGGGTATTACAGCCCACAAGCCCAAATTTACACAGCTGTAACTTTTGCCTCCTAGAGAAGGGCTTTTAGGTTATTTACATGCACCATAGCTTCTCCTCTGACACTGCTTCCTGTTGTTGGTTTGTGAAAAAAAGAGGAAGCTGCTCCAGTGTTCCCTGAGAGCCATAGTTCTTTGAGAGGCACACTTTACAGAGCCTAATGGGCAGGGAGATTATGACTCCCATGAAACACCACAGCAGCCTCTTTAAAAATAAATAAACAAACCAACAATAGGTAATAAAGGAAGAAGCCAATGTTGCAGGTAAATAACTTGAAAGCCCTTTTCTAGGAGACAAAATCTATAGGAGTGCAGATTTGGGTCTTTGAGGACTGCAATTCCCAGAATTCTTGGAAAGAATGAAAGAGCACATTCCAGAAGATGACCCTCGGCAACCCCTGAAGGTCAGCTCGGGAGGAGGCCTCATAAACGGTACAGGAAGGGAACTGACAAAAGCTGTCTCCTTTGTTCCTTCCTTGTTGGTAGAAGGCTCTACTGGAGCAAAGATCCTCCCATCTGCAGGACTGTGTTTTATGTTGCAACCTAGTGGAATCTGGATACCAGTGCTTCTAACAGGATGTTACACTGGGTGTACCAAGTATGCTCAGTACAGTATGCAAAAACTACATTACAGAATCCATACAGACACGTTAGAGCTTGAGACAAGTATGGGCACTCCATAGCTCTCCAAATGTTTTGGGGCACCACCCCTTCGTCACAGCTGGATAGGGGAGATGGGAGTGGTAATCCAGTAACATCAGGAGGGACAGAAACCAAACAAAGGCTTCCCCCCTTTTAGAATTACTCAAGTGAAGCAGACAACCCTGGTTGTGCACCGAGAGATCCACTGGCCACTAACATTCACCTGTATACCAGGTGTTCTCTCAGAAAAAGGCTAGAGGTATGGGCTGCTTTTCCCTGGTTCTTTTCTCTTTCCTTATCCCACCCATCCTCCTCCTCCCACATGAAAGCCTGTCACTGCACTGGGAAGGGGCTAACAAAGCAAGACACACAGAGTGGCAGCCATTCTCTAGGACTGTGTCCCACTTTAGCGGAAGAAAAACCCAGCCAGGGAAGACGCTCCCACCATCTGGCAGCAGTGGACATTGTTGTGGGATACTTGCTCTACTGCTCCCCACCAATCTGCCTGTGCTTTATGGTAGGCTAAGCCTGAGTAGGGGAAGTCAACGCTGCACAAAGTGTCTTCAGAGAATTTGTTTCTGCAAAGCTTTCCATGCAAACCATTGGTCAGACATTTTGGCACTGAACTTGCTTTAAATAATATGGTTTACGAAAGAAACCATACACTAAACTGAACAGGGCCCTTCCAAATTAACAACTCATCCACACACAAGCACTAATCCAAGGAGTGGTTCTGGTAAGTATGTACAGTATTGGAGAACAGAGTATAGCACTTTGTGAACTGAAGTGGAGAAGAGCCCATCAGTTTCAGAACCAAAGAAACAACATCCATAGGCTACGTGCAGAATTACTTACCAATCCCAAAGTGTTCGTTCCACATGGTGTGAAGCCCGATGGCTGCCTCTGCCAGGTGCTGCTTGAGCTCCTCAAATGGAATGTTAACCTTGAATTCTACACCCTTTTCAACCCCCAGTTCTTGACAGAGCTTTTTAAGTCCACTTACACGCTGGTCATCTTCATGGTTACGACAGCCCCCGATTAGAATGAGTTTTGGCTGTAGCTGCTGCCCTGCAATCTTCTCCAACAACTTAGCAAAGGCTCTGATCTGCAGAGGGTGGTCTTTCTCCGGCCTAAACTGGCTAACAGAAACAATGTTTTGCTCTACAGAGCTCTCCTCCTCATGCAGTGGAATATCCAGGAAGGCCTGAACATCACAGGGTGGATACACAATGCTTGTGCGATCACTGCAGTCCCAAAGGGAAAGAACGTGATTGAGCGTCCATGATGAATTAACCATGACGACATCACTGCAGGAACCAACCAGTCCATATATGGAAGCAAAAATGTAATAATATATGAGTTTCAGTTTACTTAACAGGGGGTTTGATGTAATGACGGCTGCATTGTTAAATCGAGCATTCCGATTCCTCACTACAGAAAGCATGTCAGTGCTGATTGTAGGATAGTGCACATAACAGCCTATCCGACAACCTCCCAAATATTTAAAGAGAGGAAGTATGAAAGCATAACCCATGGAATCGATATAAACATCAGGAACACAACTCATAAGAGCTTCCCAGCCAAGAAACACAGATCCTAAGCTCTGACCCAACAGAGTGAAATTTGGGTAAAGGGAGGCTTCCACCAGGTAACGTCTGCTCAAGAACACAAACTTCACAGGTTGACTTAATCTAATGTTGAAGCGCCTGTAAGCTCTTTCGAGGATGTTCTCAGCAGTGGCATCAGTGTCACCAGTATAAACAACATAGCAGGCATCTTTATACCTAAAAAGTAAAATAATATAGTTGGTTTTTCAGGCTATTACCAGTAAAAAGCATTTTATTTATATGCAGCCATCATGTTTTCCTTTCAGCATTTTTGGCCAATTTAAAACTGCTGTGCAAAATTTATGCATGTGGATGCCTAGTACTACAGAATATTGATTATTTTCCACCTGAAATGCTTTCACTATCAATTCTGAGATCTGCACAAGAGATGGCAACCAAAGAATTAAGTGTGGCTGTATGCATTTCATAAAAAATAGTTAACCTTCTTGCCTCATTCTCATATAGAATCATGAAGTTGGAAGGGGCCGATAAAGGCACTGAGTCCAACTCCCTACTCAGTGCAGGAATAAAAATGAAAGGATATCTGTCAGACGGTTCCTCTTGTATGCCTCCAGTGTTGGAGCACTCACTACCTCTTGAGGTCATTGGTTCCACTGTCGTACTACTCTAACAGTTAAGCAAATTTTTCCTATTAGAACATTGTTTTGCAATTGCAAAAGCGATCACAAAAACCTCATCGTCAAGCGGTTTCGTCGTTTAACGAGGTAATCGTTGAGCAAGGCACCACTGTACACTTTAGGATATCAGTCTCAGGATGCAACTTTATACACACACTGATCTTACAGTAGGCCCCACACAGGCCTATTTCAGATAGCAATACACATAGGATTCCATTGTTAGAAATCTATTTAACAACTACTGTATTAGGGAACAAAAATGGGTAAGATTAACTTCTAACCTCTTCTTTCCTCAAAGTGAGTCTCACTGATTTTAGGACACTATAAGAACCAGAGCTTTCTGACCCATTTTATACAATGTTTTATTCTTAAATCAGAATTCATAATGAGCTATATTGCAAAAGAGAGACGAAATCAAATAATAAAATGAACAGGCACAAACTAAGCACAAATATGCTGGCAGCAGGGTGGATTAAAACCAATGTTTTTTTTTAAATTAAAATTTGGATTTAAAAAATTTAAATCAGATTTATTTTAATAAAATGCTTTTAGAGGAAAAATCTGTCTAGTTTTCTGTTTAAGATACATTATGCTTCAAAGGTTATGCAGCATGAAATAAGAGTTAGTTATGTAGCATGAGGCTGTATATTCATGCAATATTTATATTTTTGGTAAACTAATTTAATTAATCCAAATTATCCAAGATGACATAACATGCACTTTTTTACCGTAAAAATGGTACAGAATAAAGTTCAGGAAAAGATCTTTGTTCTCTGCAAATCTATGTACAAACAATGAACACATTAGAGAAGGACCATCAGTCCCAAGCCTCCCTCACAGACGCTGAAGAATGTGGATATGGCAAATGCTATACAGTGGTGCCTCGTTTAGCAATTGCTTCGTTTAACGATGTATTCGCTTAGCGATGGGTTTTTTTGAGGTATTTTCCGCATCGTTTAACGATGTTCTCTATGGGCGATTTTCACTTAACGATGTCTGTTTTCACTCATTTAAAAGTGTCTTAAAATGTTTGAAACCTGTTTTAAATGCTTGGAATCGTTAGTGCACCTTGTGAAACCTTTGCAAACTTAATTTGGCTTTGTTCTGAGTCTTCGTTAATTTTTGGTGAATTCTCCCCCCCCCCCATTGGAATGCATTGAACGGACAGTTCAAATACGAATGTAAAAATAGGCATTTGGATTTTATTTTGTTTGGACAACACAGCTGCCCTTTTCTCCAAATATGAGAGATTAACCTATTAAACTACTATCATTTCTGATATAGCTGCTTTACTAATCTCTGAGGTTATTAGTCTAAATATGAAAGTTTCATCTAGTTACAAATATTAAAGATTATAACTACCAGTAAGAACGAGTCTTTACATTTAAAAGCCATGATTTAAATCGAGTCTTACTGACTAGTAATTTAAATCATTATTTAAAATGACTTGATTTAAATCAAATCCACCCTGATAGGCAGACCTATAACTGACTTATGGACAAATTGTATTTTCACCACACCTTTTAAGGTAAGCAAGCACAACTTGTAGGACATAAATAAGAAAATGAAAGTGAAAAATGAGAATGTGTGGTCTGAGATGAGGCTATCATCTTAACTTAGTTTGTTATTTGCATTAAGTGTCCATAAAATAAAAAATAAGACAAATGTATGTGCATAAATGAAGTATACATAAATGAAACATGCACTTACTTTTTCTGCAGTGCTCTTAGAGCACACCATAATACTCGCTCCCCTCCACCACCTGCATTGCAATATGGATGAAAAAATGCAATTACAAACGGTTTTTTCCCATGTTGTCTTGATAAAATTAGCTGCTTTTTCCTTCGTTGGAACCATAGCCGTAAACCACACAACAGCATCAACAGGCAGAGACATAAAACTCCACTTGCTATCAGTGCAGGGATCGCCAAGGAGTACAGCAATCTGAAAGAAAGAAGGGAAAGCAAGTATAGTAACAATTCTGAAGTGCTGAGACTATATTATGAAACTGAAGAAGGAATGCTGGTAGGAGAAAACCAAGTAGGGGCAAATGGGCAGTTCGAATAACCACACTGCTCAACTCCAATAAACCAGTGTTCCAGAGAATGGCGTCATGATTGCCAACTAGCCAAAAGAATAATCCACTATTTTCTCATAATAGCAGCAAGCGCACCAAATTATTAATGTGAATAGGGAAAGTCAAAATCCATCTTAACATATTAGTTGATTCAACCCGTTTAACATTCAAAATTTGTCTTCTACACTAATCAATTCAATATTTAAGATACAGAATAGGACTTTATATCTAAGCTCACACATAACATTTCTATTCCGCTTACTGAAACTCTTCTAGCTCAAAAGTGAGCACTGCACAGAAATAGACAAAAGGCCAGCTTTTTGGATTTTTCCAGGATTTTTTCTCTAAATAGTTTAAACTCCTATACAGTCGTAGGAAAACTGCAGAGATTAATGGCCACTTCTGGAAATCAGAAGAGCGGGGAATCATTTCCATGACAAAATCTCCACCAGGATTTTGTCATGGAAATGACAAAGGATTTGTGGCAGGATTTGTGGGGACTGCAACTTTCATCTAGTCCAAATTGGCAAATATCTGAACCTGCATCTTCAGACATGACTACCCACCACACTTTATATCAAACGAGGTCATGTATAGAGCTGAAGGACCTTCTGGTACACAAATACTATATATTTTTCCATCTGTACATTAAAAAGCCATCCACATCTCACTGATATTGTAAACACTTTGCATGCACCAGCTGCCAGGTTCAATCTCGAGAGTCTGAAGAGATGGCCAAACTATAGCCCTTTTTGAAAGTCTGAAGAGTTGCCACTCATCAGTGCTGACAAGACCAAGTCAAAGGGGCCAACGGTCTAATTAGACTTTTTTTTCTCTTTAACCTAGAAAACGGTAAACTGCATTTTGTGAACATCTCAAAAGTTCATGAATAAGACTCGTCTGAGACTGAAACCACAATCAGAATTGTAACTGAAGGAAGGCTGGCAGGCTATAGGTTTGGGCAACAACCTGGCCCTCACTTAGCCCCCATCTCGGTCCCTTGCATTCAACTGGCATTCAAGAGAAAACTGGAGAGCCACCCGGCAGATCTGCTTGGATCGGCATTCCTGCCACGAGCAAGGGGGTTGGACCCCATGGATGGCCTGAGGGGCCCCTTCCAACTCCAGGACTCCGCGTTTCTAGGGCAGGAGATCCCCGAGGCGGGCCACCCAACTGCACGGGCTTCCAGCGAGAGAAATGGTCACGAGGAGGGCAAGAAACCGGGGGGGGGGGTCCTGGGGCCACCGATCACCCTGGCAGCCCTTTCGTGGCTTTTGCCTTTTTTGTGAGTGGCGGCGGCGGCGGTTTGCCTCTTTTGCAGGCTACCAAGGAGGCACCTTTGGCCCAACCGTTCTCCCCATCCATCCGCTCCGATCGATATTTCAGGGTCAGAAGAGCATTTACCGGCGGAGGGAAAGCCTCCCGGCCACTCGCCGAAGCCGCCTCTCACACGCCCGGGCGGGCCGTTTTCTTTTCCCACGAGAGAAATGGCCACAGTGAGAGAGAGAGAGGAGAGGGAGGGCAGGAGAAGCTCAAGGGGAGGCCCTCCGCCGGGGGACCCCCCCACTTAAAAGGCCGAGAAGGCAGGCAAGGAAACGACCCACCGACCGTCCCGGGGCAAGGAGGAAAGCAGCGCCACCCCGGGGAGGGAAGGGGGTGGACGAACGGCTCCTACCTGAAAAGGAGCTCAACC